CTGATTTCCGTCCTATTTTTGTTTGTCTTACATGGTGAAGCTAATTCACACATTGTGTGACCATATATGCTAGACACTTTTTGCTTTTAATTTATCTAGAGCTAGCAGAAATCTTCAAAGAAATGCCAGAATCCACTAAACTCTCAGTTAATACACATTATAATACATAAGAGATTGTTTCAAAAACTTGTAAAGTCATAAGAGCTTTATATCTAAAATATAATATTTATGCATTAACAGTCTCAGCAAAGAAGACCAAAGCTCTTGGCTAGACTCAACAACTCCCACTCCTCAGCACACAAAGCAGCTGGGAACCACAAAGATGTCTGCCAAGTCTCTAAAAACAAAATGCAGGCTTTATCAAACCATAGCACCTCTGTCTGGTGATTTATACAGCACTTTACAGCTACAGTTCACAAATGGGACATATGCACATTCTCCAGGCTGGAATTAAAGTGCACATTATAACAATAGCCTTTGCTCACCGGAGGTGGACTCTAAAAATTAAAGCAATTGTTGACACACAGGAGGCAACAGAAAATGAAGTTATTTCAGTATGGGTTTCATTTGCACTGGTAACTCATATTTTAGGGCCAGGGCCCGGAGAGGAAGAGAGAAAAAGAGAATGTTTGTGTGTATGTACACTTACTTATTTAATCCATCTTGGGTCATTGGGTACGGTGGCTGGAATATTTCAGTTTTTTTATTTATACATTTGCTTTATAAAAGAGTATAAACAGCAACATTTTTATCTGAAAGTGAAGTTACTGGGTTTTGCTACTGCTGCTTTTATCATTTGGATTTTGCGTCAATGTGGTGATACAGCATTAATACCAGTTGCTAAGAGAAAAGGAAGATGAAAGGAAAGAAAAATTCCAGTTTTGCCATGCTTGGCAATATGGCAGAAAATTCTTGCTTTTATAAAGACTTTTATCCCTGAGTATTTAGATTGCACTTTGATTTCAGAGATAGTGTATAACATTGCCGGACAAATATTAGGAATGCATATTCTAAAATAAAGTTTGGAATCAAAACTAGGAATCAAAAGTAATGGCTTCTATTCCCAGCTCTGTCACATTATTTGTATGACTGTTGATGAATTTACTCAGCTTCTTGGTGCATCAATTTCCCTTTCATTAAAAGCAAATAAAACTTAATCTGTATTGCATGTGCAACTTTATCTACTGTTTTGTGAGCCAGGGTGTGCACCTGAGGTGAGGATCTTGTGAGAAACTTAGTGTATGATTGTGTAATTAAAGGTTATATCATAATGCATATACACAAGGGACCAAAATTAAGATTGCATGGTCAATCAGAAATCTGGTGTTTCCTCCCTTTTGTGTCTGCTATAAACTAATTTTTCTGTAACATAGATTTTTTCTTAATTTCCTAAGAATTTTTCACCCAAATACTTTTATGGTAGAGGCAGTTCCCCCTCCCTCCATAGCTCGCTTACATCCAGAACCTCCAGTATTGTGGCTGCCTTCTTCCACTTGAGCTACAGGACTGACTACATTAGCTGGTAGCAGAAAGCTGTTACGCCACTTGCATCATGTACTGGGAGTTTAGATGGGCGGCAGGCATTTGGACTGCTGGCTGCCTTTCTCTCCCCTCCTCCATGCCTAGAAATGGGAAACTCCTTCCCTATATGTTGCCCTTGGGATGGCAGGAATATACTTCTAGATCCATGTGTTGGAATTTAGTTAGAAGAATGGAAGAGCAATCCTGGCTGTTTTGTCGGTTTTCAGGTATTCCTGATACACTACTTATGCCTGCTTTGCAATTTGCCTGATTTTTTAGCATGTTTGGGGGTTGTGGTGAGGGTATCATTTTGGTAAGCTGCCAGAATTTTCTCACAGAATACATCAGGAAAAGGAAAATTGAGATTTTTGACAGTTTATAAGTCAACTAAATCTGAATGATGTTTCATGAGACAAATGAAAGGCATTCCTCTAGCCCAGAAGCGGGCAATAATTTTTTGCCGGGGGCCACTTTGGAAATTTTTGAAGTGGTCCTGGGCTGCACAGGAAGGGGCAGGGCATTGAGCGGAAGGGGTAGGGCATTGAGTGGAAGGGACGGGGCCAAGATATTTCTGTGTTCCCCACCCCCAGACAATGATTGGTCTGGTGGTGAGAGAGTGCCTTTGCCCCTACCCCACGTTCCCCCAAGGTGCCCATGCCCCTGGCGTGGGAGGAGACTTCTCTTGCTCCTCTGCCTCTAGGCCAATTAGGACCTGGGGGCGGGGGAGCGTGCAAAGCCTCCTCTGCTTTCCCTCATGCCCTGCGAACAGCGCACAGTGCTTCAAAGCGCTGTGCGCTCCTAGTAGGACAGGAAGAGGCTTCGTGAGCTCCCCCATTCCAAGGCTCTAATTGGCCTGGGGGCGGGGGAGCAGCAAAGTCCCGCGGGCTGGATCCACCCGGTTGGCGGGTCAGATCTGGCCCGTGGAGGCTCTTTTGCCCACTCCTGCTGTAACCCAAGGACTTCCTTCCCTGACATATTTCATATACTTATTGTGTTAGAGTACCAGAGGGCTAGCCATGTTAGGGCATGCCTACACTGGGAAATTATTTCAAAATAACTAAATTTGAAATAACTCCTGAAATAACTATTTCCAAATAAGCTTATTCCCAAGGAAAGTAGGAGCACAGATTTCAAAATAACCAGCCTGTTATTTCAAAATAACAGGGTTGGTAGTGTGGATGCTCCACTTATTATTTTGAAAGATGGGGAGGGAGGTTATTTCAAAATAACTCCCTAGTGTAGGCCAGGGCTAAGTCTGTATCCGCAAAAACAATGAGGAATCCTGTGGTATCTTAACAGTTTTATTTGGGCATAAGCTTTAGTGGACAAAAACCATATCCATGCATCTGACCAAGTGGATTTTTGCTCACAAAAGCTTAAGCCCAAATAAATCTATTAAGGTCAAGATACCATAGGACTCATTTTTACTATTAGATTTATTATAAAAACACACACACACACACACACACAAAAGAAAACTAATCCAAAACAACCCACTGTCAACAAAAAAGCTACAATTGTATTATATAAGGAAATATTGTATAAAGGAAGTAAAAAGCAGAGACTAACAGGATAGCATCTCCTGCAGATGACACCCAAGGGAACTACGCAGTTCAATTTGTAGAACTGGCCCTATCTAGAATCTTCTATCTCATATGGACTTGTGTACATATAGACCACTGCAGTTTATCAAAGACACTTACCTCCACCTTCCTAGTGCTGGGTACATAAAGGATTTGCTGGATATAACTGCACTGCTCAGGAGTGTAGATTAAAGATGGTCTCTTTAATAATGTTGACCTATAGATTACTAGGATTACAGATGTGGCTAAATAATTCAAGGAGATACATTTATTGCAGTACTTCAAATTTTATTTTACATCTGAAAATTTGGCTTGCTTAATGTGCTATTTGACCAAAAGTCAGCTCTGGCTTGCAGATGTGCGGGTTGTTCAGTCTTCAGGTCCATTTAGTGTTATGTGTCTCTGATATTATAACTAGCAATCTTGCTGGCAGTAGTATAGCTACTGTTCTATCCACCAGACACTTACTTTAGATAAAACTCATCACTCTTGTGTTGGGACCAGTCATGCTCTGGCTCTTCATTTATTTCCAGATACTTTATTGGTATGACAATAAGTATTGCCAGAGTGGAAAGGACAGATTTCTATCAGACATATGTACAATAACTCACCTCATCTAGCCCAAGACAGGACTTCATAGTGGGGTCTTGCCTCCTAAGTTTATATGCCATTCTTGAGCATGCCTGCTGTATGGATGCAAAGTCAAGAATAACAAATGAACAACCTTCCCCTGCACTGGTCCTGTCTTCTTGCTTTTTTCTCAGGCAGTGGAATTGTTCTTTGCAGTTCTTTTTTGGAATTATCGGACATAAAACTTTAATTGAGTGTTAAAGCCTTCATTCTGTTCTCAATTATAGCTTCTGCCCTCTATTGTTCTTCATTATTTTTTTTCCCCAATTGCTAAATATCAAGTTGTTGAGTGTTTGGTCTATGATAAATTTACTCTCATGTCACAAGTAGTAACTTTTTGAAGCATCAGCTAGTTCTAGGTTGACCATATTTCCAAAAGAGAAAACAGGCCTCCCCAGCTGTTCTTGAGAAGCACTCCCTTCTCCCCTCCTGAGGGTGTCATGGAATCCTGCCTGTGGGGGGAATTTGAGGATCCCGCCCTCAGGAAACTGTTGCCTTTTCTGGAACTATGGCCTTCCCCCATGCTGAAACACTGTCTTCCCAGCTGTACCTCCCCCCTGAATCGGAACTGGCACCTTCCCCATGTTCCTCTAAACCCCACTTTGCCACTTTTTTTTAACCAAAAGTGGGTATTTATCCTGTTTGCTCTCACTAGCTCAGCACGCCATTGAGAGAAAAAGGACAAACATCTCCCTTTGAGAAAAAAAGCTGGGACTTTTAAAAGGGGCCATGTGGTCATCCCAGCAAGTTCTGCTGTCCCAGCCCATCCTTTGCCTCTGCAGCTACAATGAAAGCCTGTTCTTCCCTTGCAGCCTTTCCCTGGGCTGCAGGGAGATCGGTTCTCAACAACCTCTCGCAAGAAATCTGCGCGCAGCGCCCCGCGGGGCCAGGCTAGGTGTGAAAAGCTCCGTGGCCCACTCCACATCCCCCGCCCGCCTACCCCGCCCCCCTGCTCCAGCCCCACCCACTGAGAGCCACTAGTCAGAAATCCGTTCTCGTTAACCAATCAAAACAGGCTATGGGCGTGGTCCAACCCTTCAGGACCAATAAGCTTCCCGGGAGACACAAAGTAGTGTTCTTTGCACGCGCTTTCAGAGCCTGGAATAATAGACGTAAGCAAGACCGAATCAATATGTCGGGGAGGCGGTGCTCGTTGAGACCTTTAACCAATAAGAGGAAGGAGGTAGGCGGGCCGAGCAGTGTGGGCCCGGCAGAGGAAGAATGACGGGCGCGTGCCCTAATGGCGCAGTGAGGCGGGCGTTAGTCACGCGAGCCCGAGCCAATGGCGTGCACGTGTGGGCGGGGCAGGAGGGCTCGTGCCTTGGCTCTGTGATTGGGAGACAGAGACAGAGGGAGCCCGGCCGGGCGGGGGGTGCGCTGCACGAAAATGCACTCGGATGCCGCCGCTGGCAGTG